CAGTGGTCGTGCAGACCGTCCTTTAGTATATGCTTGTCCTTTAAATATGGGAAGGCTGTGCCCAGACCGGCTGTGTAAGCAGTACCATCTTTTGGAAAGTGTGTTGCTAAAAATTACATAGGTGATTACTGTAGCAAAGTGCTCACCTGCCATTCTAAACATGATACTTATTTACTTCATAGAAAACACACCCATTTGTCTCTTCATAACAAAGATTTTGGTATGCATTGCAGTTTTGCCTTTGATAAATAAAGTAGAGGGGCTACAGGAACTCAAATCTCCTCCTTATCAGTAAGAATATCTTTAAACATCTGTCCTTGAATTGTACCCATTCCCTCAAAATATGGATGAAGTCAGCTCCTTCAAAACCTAAAGCACCAAGAAGATCAAAAGAAATTTACTTGAGGTTCAGGAATACCGCAATCTGTCATTACAACTGTAAATAAAAATAATTTATTTGGGAACTGTTACCAAAACAATTATTCCTTTTAAAGTGATGGCTTGCCAAATGTAGAAGGCAAAAAAAATATTCTGCATAAATTCAATCCTAATTCTCATCAATACATGTTAAACTTACATTTCTGGTGTGCTGCCTAACTGTTCCACAGTTCAACTTGTACTATATGGAAAAAACCTCTCCTGAAGAAAGGACGTGCCTTGTCAGAAAAGTAAGGTGGATGAGGGTCAGACTATCTCAGATGATCCTAAGAATCCAGCACAGGCAAGAAAGGTAGTTCTCCATCCTGAAGATGTTCCTGTGTATCAAAAATGGAATGGTTAGACATTGAAAAGTACAGGAATATCAGTATACACTGTAAGCTTGCCTCATCTTCGTGACATCCCAGATAGGAACAGTTTTATTGATTTAATGAAAAACACCCAAGTTATTACTAACTAAGAAAAAATATTGCATTTCAAAAAAAAAAGCTCAAAGATCACTTTTGGACTAAGGGAAAGCACTTTTAAATGTGTCAGCTTGTTATGACATTTACAGATAAGAAATACACTACAGGCATAATCACCTGAGTATTTTTATGATTTGCAACTAATCTTTCTACTTGTGCCAAAGCTCATCCAGAAGTATTCAGAGTCTTGTTTTGGCTTAATCTGCTGCACGATTACTTTTAAAGAAAGTGTTTGCCATTTATTTCTGTGTGAAGTGCATTCAAACTCTGACAAGACAGCAAAGACCTAAAATAGCAACACGTTGTTATATACACACTCCATAGGAACTCAGCTTTTATCTGCAATGGCTATACAGCAGAACATTTGAGGTTCAGAAAAGCCGTACAGGAGAGGAAGTTAGAGACAGGGAAGCAAAGGACAGGGAGAAGATGTATGCAGAGTCCAGGAAGACTCAGAACAACCTTTAAAAAAAAGCATAGTAGAGTAACTTCAACCCCTCGCACAGACCCACTAAACAAGAGGCCAAGGGACAGAGACTAGAAGAGCAGTCTGTCGTAAGTGGCAGCACTGGTCAACCATAGTATTTCATGTGCAATTCACCCAACACTACTCATTGATGCTAAAAAGGAGTAACAGCATCCAGTCGTGCAATACTGGATTTCCTGTGTTATGTTTTTCGTTCAGTTTCTGATTAAAGCCAGATGCAGTTTTTCCTCAAATGCAAACTTGGAGAAAGTATGAAAATACTTTAATTTTTGAACAAAAAGGTGCACTCTTCCTATCCCTGGAATCTACTGAAACACTGCATCTGTTTATCTAAGGAGATGTAGAAGGCAGCAAAAGAAATTAAGCAAGTGCTCAAGAGCTTGTCTGGCTTTTTTCCTCCAAGTGAATTGTACAGTCTAGTAAAACATTTATGTTATTACCTATATTTTCCTTATAGCCCCAGACCATCGTGGCTATGACTGTTACGTTAAGCATTTGTTTTGCTCCGTTCCTATGATTCAATTTAAATGTCTACTAGTGTTAAAAGTTCCTGCCTTCAAGATCTTGCCATCTTGGCTCAAGGCATGTAAGAATGGAAACTGCAATAACTCCGCAACCATCTTCAGAAACACATGGCATTATCTTTCATTCATCCAGTTACCAATTTTTGTTCTGGAGATATTACAGCAGAATCTCATCTTTGTAACTCCTCTGAAGAAGCAGATTCCAGCTTTCACAGAACCATTAAGGTTGGGAAAGAACTTTAAGATCTAGTCCAACCATAAACCCAGCATTGCCAAGTCCACCCCTAAACCATGTCCCATTAGTTTCTTTAGAACCCATGGGAAAGATCTTCTTGCTAAATGATCCAAGCTTTTACGTTAAAGTCTAAAGAGCAAATTGCAATAGTAGGAACACAGAAGAAATCCTGTGACTTTTGCTTACTCCAGACAGATGTTAAGAAGAAGCGCTGTTACTAGAAATCAAGGTAAATTGTTCCCATAAGCAGTCACCAAAGCCTGAATCCAGTAGAGTGGCAAGGTCCTCCAAATACTCTCCAACTTCAGGTACCTTCACATCCCATAGGACACTCTGATTACAAGACTGGGTTAAAAAATTAGCTACCCAACTAGACAGGCTTCTAAACTCACTTCCCTAGCACAGCCACTAGTAAAAGTCTCTCCTTTACCCTGCCACCATTGCTCAAAATGCATAATATAATGGTTTTGAAGCCTTTCCCCTGGCTTTAAGAGAAACACATGACAAAAAAAATCTTATATGTGTACATAATCTTTGTTTTTGTTTACAAGTCAAAGCCTAAATTAGGATTTTTTTTTTAAAGGGAAACAAAACCATCCAACATTAAAAACCCCCAACAGTAATTTAAAAGTTTAGCCACCTATACTTAAAAATAGAAAAAAAATCTAAATTCTAGCGTTACCACAAAATAAACACATACGACCCAAAGATACAAAATATGGCTAAGCTAAAAGAGGCTCAACAGCCGAGCAGCGGGTGACCTACAGCAACGTAAACAACGCGAGGTTGCAGAGCAGGTAGAGTATGGAGCAGCACACAAAGCCACAGAGACACACTTTTAAATTCCGAAGCCCTAAGGACATAGCCAAGCAGTAACAAGGGACGTAACAAAGCAATTTTAATTTACTGCATTATTTCAGGAATCCTTTAAATGCTTTACGATAACCTCTACATCCTTAATTGCTTTATCACCTGCCCTAGCCAAAGCTGAACGGGTGCGCATTTCAAGATTTCTCTCTCCTTTTCCCTCTCTGCCCACGTGCACCTCCCCGTTTCCAAAATAACCTGCGTAACTTACTATCAAGCCCAGTTCTGCTATACGTCTGTTTTTTATGAAGTTTCACTCCTCAGCCTGAGGATAGCTTATAAAATGGATTGATAACATCCCCCAATTATATCTTCCGGTACGTCACCAAGTCTGCAGCCAGCTGCATTACCCGGAGGTTTTTTCCCTCGTTTAAATGTATAAACTACCAAACTTAAATAAGTTAAAAAAAAAAAATCCACAAAAAACTAACCCCACCATCATTCTCGAACCCCCTCATCAAACCCACGTTAAAGAAAAAGC